GAGTATTCAGGGACAAGACTGGGGCCATCCAACAGTGAGAGAGGGGCTAGACACATACCTTCCAGGCAGGACCCCGTCTCCTTAGCATTGCCCATGACTTTGAGACCAAGTGACAAGTAGTAGACACGGCATTTATATTTTAGTTTTCAAACCATGCAAAGTGAGACCAATTTTCCCCATCTAGATGGGAAAACTGAGAACTCAGAGGTTAAGTAGCTTGCCCAGGGCCACACAGCAGGGCTGCAATTTGAACCCAGGCCACATCTGGCTTATCAGACCATCATCATCATCTTGCCAGTGTGTATTTGGGAGTGGGCTGGAGGATGGATATGGAGGTGTTTGTATAGGAAGTTTTATTTAGAGGTCCAGACTGGGCACAGACACGGTGGCTCGCCTGTGTCCCAGCACTTTGGGGCCGGCGGCCCAGTTCAAGGTCAGGAGATGAGACCATCCTGGCTCTCCCGGTGAGACCCGTCTCTACTAAAAATACAAAAAATTAGCTGGGTGTGGTGGCAGGCGCCTGTAGTCTCAGCTACTCAGGAGGCTGAGGCAGGAGAATGGTGTGAGCCTGGGAAGGAGCTTGCAGTGAAACTGAATTAGCAACTGCACTCCTAGCCCGGGCGACAGGCAAGACTCCGTCTCAAAAAAAAAAAGAAAGAAAAAAAAAAAGAAAAAGAGTCAGACTGGCTGGCAACGTGGCTCAAGCCTGTAATCCCAGCACTTTGCCGGGAGGCCAGGTGGTAGGATCAGGTGAGCAGAATTCCAAGACCAGCCTGGACAACACAGCAAGACCCATCTCTCTACAAAAAAATTTCACAAATTAGCTGGACATGGTGGCTCACACGTGTAGTCCCAGCTACTGGGAAGGCTGGGAGGATTGCTTGAGCCCAGGAAGTTTTCAGGGTTGCAATGAGCTATGATGCGCCACTGCACTCCAGCCTGGGCAACAGAGGGAGACCCTGTCTCAAAAAAAAAAAAAAAAAAAATCAGCTGAAGTCCTTCCAGATTACATTTCTACAGAGAATCTTCCTTGAGAGGAGGAAGTGTTCACCGAAACCATTTACAACTTCTTGGCCCGGCCTTTTGTTTTAGCTCCCTTTCCCTACAGAAAGCCACCTTGCCCAAACACCACCGTCAGAGGCTTGCTCCTGCCCTCACAGTCTGGTCCCTGTCTGTTTCTCCCATTACACAAGCCTGGTTGAGGCTGAGAGGTGGAGTACTATCCCACGGGACTGGGATTTTCAGGGACAAACTCACCACATCCTCCTCAGTTCTTCTGAGGAGTCCAGACCTCTGTCCTGGGACACAATTGTTACCCTGCCCAGAGCCTTTAGGTAAGAACCAAGATGGCATTCTGGGGCTGGAGTCTCGCTGTAAGCGCCCCTGCCCTCACCCAGCTGTCTGTTGTTACCATGAGAACCCAGATGATCTTCAATGCAGCCAAGGAGCTGGGTCAGCTGTCCAAACTCAAGGTGAGGAGTGGGGCTAGAGTATGGGGTGAGGACTGCCCCCAGACTCATGTGGCTTCCAGGTTGCCACCATCCTGGGGAGGGTCGCAGGATGATGACGTGCATTACAGGCTCAAAGGACAGAAACTCTACTCACTGAAGCACAAGATATTTGCTCCCCAGTGTGTCGAAAAATGTAAGATAGTTCAGCTTCAGGTACAACTTGCTCAAGAGGGCAAGTCATTTATTCAACAAATATTTGTTGAGCACCTGCTGTGTACCAGTCACATATTGGGTGCTGGGATGATGAAAACATAGACCCTCAGCCCCAGCTCCTCCAAATTTAACAGGGATGAGACCGCAGAGCCACAGATTCTGGAAGGCAGAGCCCTTCCACCCATGTGGCTCTCCCCATCCATCCCAGGACCACATGGTACGAAAAGCCAAGAGCTTGACCCCAAAGCAGTGCGCGGTTGTTGGAGCAGCCCTGGACACAATCAAGGTGAGAGGCCCTACACCTCCCCATCCCAGGTGAGGATGCGGTGTGGCTGCTGTGGTGCTGGACCTAAGTTTTGCCTCAGACCCACATTCATTCATTCAATTGATAAACACTCCTTGTTCCTCTTCTGTGCCAGAGCTGGGCTGGCTAATGCCGGAGCATTAAGGGCCCCGAGTCAAGGAAGACTGCTGGTCTGAACATCCCTCAGCCTTGTAGGATTAGGCTTGGGGTGGGAAGGATGGGCTGGGGCAGCCCAAGGAGTGAAGGTATAGAGGGAAGGATGTAAAGGACCTTGCTAGGCGTTTCTTGAGGTGTAGAAGGGTAGAGGAAGGATGGGGGCTGGGTGAACCCAAGGTGGGAGAAGCCAGGGCTTCCTGGAAGAGGGCATGTGAGAGGTGGGTTCTGAGGAATGCATAGGAGTTCACTAGGCAAAGCAAAGGAAGAGGTGAGAAAGTAGTAGCAGGAGGGTGGGAGTGGTGACAGCAGGGCTACCCTGCCCTGTGAGTGGGTAGAGCGTCACAGCCTCACCTCTTCCCACCCCTGTCCTCCCCCAGCAATATTTCATGCGGGTGGCGTGGGCCTCAAGAGAAGACCTTCCTGGAGAGAAGAGCCCGGACCTGCAATCCTGCGCTATGCCCTATCGCTCTACACACGGCCACCGACCTGCTCATCAAGGCTTTTATTACAGACGCAATCGGCCCAGGGTAAGGCGCCCAGACCCCATCACCCTTTCCTGCTCACAGAGACAGCCCCGCCCCAAGCCTGTGCGGCTGTGCGGCTCACTCCCCTGTGAGTCATGGATGGGGCGGAATTGACATCTCTGCACCAAGTCCGGGGACCAATGAGTGATCAAAGGTTCATGGGGGCGAGGCCTCTGACGTCACAGACCGGGAGGTGATTGTCAACTCTGGGAAAATCTGCTTGATGTCCTGGAGCCAGACAATGATTGGCAGCTCTGGGATGGAATGTCTTTGACATGAAGGACCAGGGCAGGCTTGATGACTCTTAGGTGTGGAACCTGTGACGGCGAGCTGAGGTGATTGTCATCTCCCAGGAAAATCACGAGGGTGTCCCAGGGCCAATGAATGATTGTCGGCTCCTGGGGACCTGGACAGTGTGGAGTCCAGGGAGTGGTTGACAGCTCTGGGAGACTGGGAGTGATTGACAGCTCAGGATGAGGCGGGACCTCTGATGTCAAGGGAGTCAAGGAAGGATTGGCAGGTCCACGGGTAGGACCTCTGGCTTCATGGTCCCAGGGGAGTGATTGAAGTCCTGAGGGACCTCTGTGACGTCATGGGGCTAAGGAATGATTGACAGCCCCACGGGGCGGGGAGGACCTCTCCATGAGTAGAGGGGAGGCTGGACAGGAGAGGAGTTCCCATTTCTCAAACTCTCTCTCTTTCTCTGTCTTTGCTTCGGTCTCCTGTCCCTCTCTGGAAGATTACTGCCTTACGGCAGCTGGGAGCTGGATGGAGCGGGATTCATAAGGACGCCCCCTTTTTCAAGTAGTCCCAACAAGGGAAAGTTTGGCAGCTTGACCTCAGGAGGGAGAGGAGAATCACCATCGACATACCCAGCCTGGGCGAGGGAGTAAGGCCTGTGGCCTCCAGCGGCCCCCTTCTCCCCAGATCCAGCCAGCCCAGGGCCCTCTGTGGGCGCTGGTCTCTGAAGCTCAGCTTCCCTTCCAGTCTGGCTGCTTTTAGTGTCTCTGGTGTCCGTGGAGCAGGAGGCTGTCTCCTCTGTCTCTCCGTCTGTCTGCAGCTGACGTTTCTCTCTCTCTTGTTTTCCTCCTCTCCTGCTGTCCCCTCTCGCCTCCCTTGCCCGCTCCACACACCTCCTCCATCCTCACCTCTCACTCAGCTCGTCTCTCCCGCTCCCCATGCTTCCCACCTCTCGCTCCACCCCCAATTAGTCCATGGTGGAAAAGGTACTAGGTTTACCCTTAGTGAAGACATTTATCCTGAGGAAAGTCGTCTGCCTCCTTGCCCGCCGCCACCGCCCATGCCTGGTGCCCGGTGCCTGCCCCTCCCGGCCCGGCTAGTAAAAGAATCGTCCTTCCTGCCTCAGGCGGGGAAGGACGATTTGTAGTTCTACATGGGGAAAAGTGATTCCAGTGAGAATCTAGGAATTCATTTTACTCCTGAAATGACACATTTTTTAAGCCAGATCCTGCTGGGATGCGGGACAGGCACCTGTCAGGTTAAGAGCTGGCTCTGACTCCAGCCCAGCCCTCCACGGGTAGGCACCTTGGGCAAGAATCTGTCTCCTGAGCCTCGGATTTTCTCATCTGTAAAATGGGTACAGTCGAGACCCTACTTCATAAGATTATTGTTATCGATATTATTATTTTTTAGAGACAGGGTCTCCTTCTGTCACCTAGGCTGGGCTATTGGTGCAATCACCTCCTGCAACCTCCTCCTGTGCTCAAGTGATCCTCCTGCCTCAGCCTCCAGAGGAGCTGGGACTACAGGTACATGCCACCATGGCTAGCTAATTTTAAATTTTTGTAGAGAGGGAGTCTCATACAGCTTGTCAGGCTCATCGACTCAGCCTTAAGTGATCCTCCTTCTTAGCCTCCCAAAATGCTGGGATTACAGGTGTGAGCCACTATGCCAGGCTGAGAGATGCCAGTGGAAGGAAGAATTGACTAAACAATTTCTAGCGAATAAATAAAATCCACGAGGAAGGAAGGATTGGATGGGTGGATGGATGAATAGATAGATGGGTACATGGATGGATGGATAGTTGCATGAGCGGGTGAACGAATGGATAGAAGGATGGATGGATGGATGAATAAATTAGTTGTTGAATATATGGGTGGATAGTTGCATGAGTGGATGAATGAATGAATGGAGGGACAGATGGATGAGTGGGTGGAAGCTCAAAGAGAAGCAAAGCCTTAGCACAGAGTCAGTCAACAGTGGCTATGAGGGAACCTGAACCCCAATCCCTCTACCCTACCCTACACTCCCCTGTGGGGCAGGGAAGGACAAAGCAGCCCATCCCATCTGCCTTCTGCCTGCCAAAGTTTTATACTTCCACCACTTTGCCAGGTTTCCCCAGGAGCTGAATGTGGGTAAAATCAGCGCTGAAGTGATGTGGAATCTGTTTGCCCAAGACATGAAGTATGCCATGGAGGGTGAGTTTCCCACCCCAGTGTTCCCCAGCCTGGCCACACCAGGTGGCTGCACCTCTGTGTCCCCTCCAAGGCTGTGAGTGCCCTGTACCCTCATGCCTGAGTTGGACATCAGTGATGGCCAGAGTGGGCAGCCTCTCTGCCGAGACACAGGGTGGCAGACCCTTCCAGCTGTGCCACCCTCTTTGTCCCCGGCCAGAGCACGACAAGCATCGTCTATGCAAGAGTGCCGACTACATGAACCTCCACTTCAAGGTGAAATGGCTCTACAATGAGTATGTGACGGAACTTCCCTCCTTCAAGGACCGCGTGCCTGAGTACCCTGCGTAAGTCCCCCGCCCCAAGCCCAGCCCAAGTCAGAACTGTAGCGCTGACAGCTAGAAGGAAAGCCAGAGAGGAGGACTGACCTACTCAGGGTTACCTGGGCATCAGGGGCACGGGTGGGGCTTGAATCCAGTGTTCTCCACTCTCAGCCATTGAGCAGTTGACTCCTACAGCCCAGAAAATTCATAGTCATAGCAGCAGCAGGAACCATGTGACTTTTTCATTTTATCCTTTTGACAATTCTATGAGTTAAGGTGGGATCGTTTTAATTCCTATTTTGCGGAGAAGACATTGGAGAGTTAAAGAGGCCAAATGGCCAGGCACAGTGGCACATGCCTGTAGTCCCGATAACTTGGGAGGCTGTGGTAGGAGGCTCACTTGCGCCCAGGGGTTCGAGACCAACCTGGACAAGATCGTGAGATCCCATCTCTAAAATGAGCAAATGGATCAGACGCAGTGGCTTGTGCCTGTAATCCCAGGATTTTGGGAGTCCGAGGCGGGCAGATCACCTGAGGTCAGGAGTTCAAGACCAGCCTAGCCAATAGGCCAAAACCCTAGCTCTACAAAAGTACAAAAATTGACCAGGCACAGTGGCTCATGCCTGTAATCCCAGTACTTTGGGAGGCCAAGGCGGGTGGATCATCAGAGGTCAGGAGTTTGAGACCAGCCTGGCCAACATGGTGAGACCCTGTCTCTACTAAAAACACACAAAAAATAGCCGGGTGTGGGGGCAGGTGCCTGTAATCCCCGCTACTTGGGAGGCTGAGGCAGGAGAAGTGCTTGAATCCAGGAGGCGGAGGTTGCAGTGAGCCGAGATCGCGCCAGTGATCTTGGGGCGGCAGAGTGAGACTCCGTCTCAAAAAAAGAAAAAAAAACTGGCTGGGCGCGGTGGCTCACACCTGTAATCCTAGCACTTTGGGAGGCCGAGGCGGGTAGATCACAAGGTCAGGAGATCGAGACCATCCTGGCTAACACCGTGAAACCCTATCTCTACTAAAAATATAAAAAATTAGCCGGGCGTGGTGGCAGGTGCCTGTAGTCCCAGCTACTTGGGAGGCTGAGGCAGGAGAATGGCGTGAACCCGGGAGGCGAAGCTTGCAGTGAGCCAAGATCACGCCACTGCACTCCAGCCTGAGTGACAGAGTCAGACTCCGTCTCAAAAACAAAAAAAATTAAAAGAAAGAAAGAAAAAGTATCCGGGTATGGTGGCACACGCCTGTAGTCCCGGCTACTTGAGAAGCTGAAGCAGCAGGACCACTTGAACCCAGGAGGCAGAGGTTACAGTAAGCGGAAATGGTATCACTGCACTCCAGCCTGGGCAACAGAGTGAGACTCCATCTCAGAAATAAATTAATATAAACATAGAATGAATGAGTGAATAAATGCCAAATGCCTTGCCCAAGGTGACTCCTAGTACATGACAGACCCGAGATTTGAACTCGGGACATCTGACTCCTGGGCTGTGTGTTGGAGGATAGTATGGTACCACCAGTTCCTCAGAATTGTGCTGTGTCGTTCGTTCACTGCTCCCAACAGCACAGAGGGATAGTCTTCTGTTGTACAAGAAATGAAAGCTCTGGCTGGGTGCGGTGGCTCATGCCTGTAATCTCAACATTTTGGGAGGCCGAAGTGGGAGGATCACTTGAGGCCAGGAATTCAAGACCTGCCTGGGCAACATAGGGAAATCCTATCTTTACAAAGAAGACAAAAAAAAAAAAAAAAAAAAAAAATTAGCCAGGAATGGTGGCACGTGCCTGTAGTCCCAGTTACTTGGACTGAGGTGTGAGGATCACTTGAACCCAGGAGGTCAAGGCTGCAGTGAGCTATGATCACACCACTGCACTTTAGCCTGGGCAACAGAGCAAGACATGTCTCAAAAAAGAAAAAAAAAAGAAAAAGAAAAAAAAGAAAGGAAAAGAAAAGAAAGGAGGGAGGAAGAAGGAAGGAAGGAAGGAGGGAAGGAGGGAAGGGAGGAAGGGAGGGAGGAAGGAAGGAAGGAAGGAAGGAAGGAAGGAAGGAAGGAAGGAAGG